AAAACATGATAAAATAAATAAACAAACACATTTTGGTAGCATGTGTAATCCCAATAACATAGTACCCCTGTTGGAATTCATACATATTTAGTTCTATAATACATTGAGTTATATGGGTCACATCTTGTGTTACTGTGTGTATATACACTATTACTCTTCCCACTCATGTTTATGTAACTACCACATATATTTGCATAAAACAGTTGTTTTGTGAGAAGAGAAGGCTCCTGGGAGACCTTACAGCAGCCTTCCAGTACCTGAAGGGGGCCTACAAGAAAGCTGGAGATTGACTTTTTACAAGGGCACATAGGGATAGGACAAGGGGTAATGGCTTTAAACTGAAAGAGAGTGGATTTAGATTGGATATAAGGAAGAAATTCTTCACTGTGACGGCGGTGAGGCACCGGAACAGGTTGCCCAGAGAGGTTGTGGATGCCCCATCCCTGGAAGTGTTCAAGGCCAGGCTGGATGGGGCTTTGAGCAACCTGGTCTAGTGGAAGGTGTCCCTGCCCATGGCCGGGGGGTTGCAACTAGATGATCTTTAAGGTCCCTTCCAATCCAAACCATTCTATGATGATTTATGTATTTATGTTGTCTTTTAATGCAGTTAAACAGCGGGAAATGAAGAGTTCTGGCAATGTATTACCAGTCACAACTCTGCAGAACTCCAACTAATACTTTGAAGAATAGCAGCAATCCTGGAACCAGATTTTCAAAATAGATGTGCATGAAAATCTGAAGGTAAATTTGATTCAACATTTATCAATGTGGTGAAAAGACATATAAAAATAAAAGGAGCAGAATGTGTCTTTTAAATATTATTAAGTTTTACCTCTATTTAATAGTCAAAGCTTGTTTTACTAAAATAGGTAAGGGCATTTGTTTGTGTGTGAGTCTATAGCTTCTGTGCCAACCTTAACAACTGTGACCTTAGCTTGATAATAACCAGGCAAAGATTATAAAATCAGTAGTGCCAGCTGCCTGGCCTGTGTACAATCAGGCTTTCATGAAAAATCTGGGGACTGGATTTGACAGAACCAGAAAGCAGCTGTTCTCAACAGCATGCTTCCGCTCAGAAACTACAGCTATCTGAGTGAGAATTAATGCTCCTTTTCACATTAGTGCACTCTTCCACTGATCCTTACGGCAGCTGTTGCTGTGCTTCCCCTAAACACTTAAACTGGAGTTGTACTAGGACTTCATGCAGCAATTGGCAAAATATTCAGCAGGCAAAAGTCCTGAAATTTCAGGAAACTGGACTAGGTAAATCGTGTTAGTTTTGTGATCTTTGTCCTTTCGGTATCATACTTCCTAAAGCCATAGTGGGTTAGTTTCATACCCAGGCAGGATAATAATTTGGTCCCACACCCCAGCTGTCTATCTTAGAAGAAGCTATCTTATACTTGGAGGAAGATTGTATGGAAAATTCTATAGGCCGTAACTGGCCCCTATGGAAATAAAAATTAAAGTTTTGGCGTTTCTTCCTTTTACTGTGCAATGATAGTTTAATGACTGGTGGTATATTTGCAGCTCTACCACTTCCCTGCTGATGACTGTGAGAAAGTCACTTTATCACATGGTACTACAGTTTCTCCACATGTGGCATAGGAATAATTAAACTTATCTTCTCCATGGAACACCGTGAGGTCTGTGTAGGAAGCTGGAAGCTGAAATTATTTTAAGAGCATTGGGAAGACCATATTGAGGAATAAAGCTTATGTGGTTTTGACATGAACTATCGCATCTTTTCTAGCTAGTCTGAACTGGCATGTGGCAGTTGTGTCAGTGACTGAGACCAGCCTACATAGCTTTAAAGCATACATACTGTTAGTGTAAATGTAATCATTGAAATCAATCAAACAGTCTTACCCTGTCATTTTGCACTTGCTTGTCAAGAAGCACGAAAGAGCAAATTTGGTGTGTCTTTTGCAGAGATGGTTGGGGGAGTGCTGAATCCTGCGTTACCTGAACTGAGTCTTCAGAGCTTTTACTATAGACAGAGCTCAGTAAACTGAAGCTCCGAATTCAAATAAATCTTCTTCATGCTCCTATAGTAAGAGCCAGACTTAAGTACTAAATTCAACGTTTGACTATTCATATTTGACTGTACTTTTAAATATGCATTTATATTAAGGTCAGAGTATATCAGAGAGAGATGCTTTGATCTAAACTGATTTTTGCAACATTTGGGAAAACTGGAAGTGTTGTTGCAGCCCACTAGATGTCAGTGTCGCCACACAATAGACCGCTGCAGCTCTGCTCGCTAGGCAGGTAGGATTCGGTATCTTCAGAGTAATGGATGAGTTATCTTGGATCATGGAAATTGGCTATGTAAGGTCTGTCATATTTTTACCTAACTCTAGGAAATAGTTCCAGGAACAGTGCTGCAACCCAGTTATTCTGACTGTATTATGTGATTCCTACCAAACAATTTGTATGCAGCAGAAATACTTTAGGGAATAAGACAACATTTCAGAAGCAAACAAAAGGAAATATTTCTGAATAAATGGACATTCAGTGACCTAAAAAATATTAGTAGGAACTGATATCGGCAAATAATACTTTGATTTCTGACTCTGTTCTCCAAAGGAGTCTCTCTTCTCTAAAATGTGACAGCTATTCTGGCCTTGATATGAACTGAAATTATGACATTTATTATTGCTTGGAGAAATTGAATTTTAGATCTGAAAACACATCCAGTTGTAAGGTTCATTAAGAGATGGCATTATGTAGAAGTACAGAAACCCACAGAAACCCACAAAAACCAGGAAACCTAGATAAAGAAAAAGCAGAACTTGTGGAAAGTATAGAAATAGGAAAGGCAAGGTAGAGAAATTCCATTAAAATATTAAAAAGTTGGCTCTGTTAAAATGTAAAAGGTAAGGTGGAACAAAGGGCAAAATTTGATATTGCAGCTAGAAAGACAAAGAAGAAAACTTCAGATGATTATTCAACGTTTGCATAGATTTGTTGGGGTATGCAGGAAAATCATAGAATCATAGAACAGCCCAGGCTGGAAGGGACCTCAGAAGATCATTTGGTCCAACCTTTCGTGGAAAAGGGAGCCTAGAAGAGATTACCTAGCACCCTGTCTTGTTCCATCTTGAAAACCTCCAGTGACGGGGACTCCACCATGTCCCTGGGGAGGTTGTTCCTGTGATTGATTGTTCTCACTGTAAAAAATTTCTTTCTTATATCAAGATGAAACCTCTCCTAGTGCAACTTGTACCCATTGCCCCTTGTCTTCTCCATGTGGCTCCTTGTGAAGAGAGAGCCTTCATCCTCTTTGTAGCTCCCTTTAAGTATTGGAATACCGTGATGAGGTCTCCCCTGAGCCTTCTCTTCTCCAAGGAGAAGAGACCTAACTCCTTCAGTCTTTCCTCATAGGGCAGGTTCTCCAGCCCTTTGATCATCTTCGTGACCCTCTTTTTGGACCCTCTCCAGTCTGTCCACATCTTTTTTGAATTGTGGGGATCAGAACTGGACACAGTACTCTACGTGCAGCTTGACATGCACTGAGTAGAGTGGGATGATCACGTCTCTATCTCTGCTAGTAATGCCCCTGCAGATAGAGCCCAGGAGCCGATTTGCCTTTGCTGCTGCAGCGGCAGGCGCACTGCTGACTCATGTTCAGCTCGTTGTCCGCCAGGACCTCCAGGTCCCTTTCAGGAAGGCAGCTCCTCAGCCATAGAGCCCAGCCTCTACTGGGCTCTTTGGTTATGTCTTCCCAGGTGCAGGACTTTGCGCTTCTCTCTGTTCAATTTCATACTGTTCTTGCTAGCCCACTCTTCCAGCCTGTCCAGGTCTCTCTGTGAGATGGCTCTCCCTTCTGACATATCCACCACACCACCCAGTTTAGTGTCATCAGCAAACTTGGTGAGAGTGCGTATTATATTAATTATAAAAACTGTATATTGGTTCTGTAGTGTAATTCCCACTATCAGAAATTACATTAATAGTGTCAAGCTTGTAATTGAAAGTACTCACGTTTGCCAGACGTGGTATATTTACTAGACTGTGAATGATAATTTGACTGTTGAATTTAACATTTTTTCATTATTATTGTACATTTTCCCCAGTTTTAGTGAGGCAGAGGTAAAAAGTACTTGGTCATGTAAGAAGTTTGAAGAATTCTGGTTTGAGCCAGTTGTTAATTTGCTAGTCAGCAACCTAAGAGTCATACTGATCACCCTTCTCCCTGTGTCCATCGCACTCCTTCTCCATTAGCAGCTTTTAAATTACCTCTTGTTATGTAAAGGTTTGTTCTAGCTCCAAATTTATAGCTTTGCTTCTTCTCCACCTAGGAACATTTTCCATGTGCTCATTTGCATATACTCTGCAACTCTCATTCTGAAAGTATTTATATACTCAACTCTTCTACACACCTGTAGATATACTTACTTAAATATTTTTTGAAAAATAATCATCCTGGAGGTACATATTTTTAAATATTTTTTGATAAATAAACAGCCTGGAGGTACATATTTTTGTTCTCGGCTCACTAAGCCTAACTGGCAACATGTGAAAGATGCATAGGAAACCATTCCACTGCTTGAAGATTTTTCCTCATCTCTTTCCCATTTTGCCTTACTTGCTTGTTATGTGGAGAATAACAATAAGGGAAGTATCATATTCCTTTGCCGTCGTTATTTAAGAAAAAAAACACACTACATTGGAAAAATCTTGCAACAGAAGAGTTAAGTATTTTTATCACATAGAAACAAATGACGATACACATATCATACTTTATTATATAATTTCTGAGTGCGTGCTTTCATGTTTAACATTTAATCAGTGTACATGTACTTGAATACAAGATACACTTTTGAAAATCTGCATCTATAAGCCTATCGAAAAAGACATATACATCTGTTTAAAATCAGTGCACTTATTTTTTGAATGCACAAATACCTTTTTCCTTACTTTGAAACTTGTGTAGAAAAAATTACAGTAAATTCCTTCTATTTTTTATTTTATTTTACACATGCTTTTGCATTTTTTCAATATCCACTCCTCTCTTTTTTTTTTTTTAAAACACACAGAGTTGAACTTACAATAGTACAGACAACTACTATACACGCAGCAACTATTGCCACTATTACTGTAGTGTTAGGACCATCATTGTTGCCATGATAATCTGAAGGCACAGATGCTTTTGGAGGAATGAACCATGTGGCTCGTGCTATATTAGACACCTCTGAAATCAAGTTGGTATCATCAACAGCACGTATAGCAAAGTAGATTATGGTGCCATTTTCTATTATGAAATTTTCTGGTTTAATTTTAAATGATTCTTCTCTGCCAGCCTCCTTAGGTATGAGATTAGAGGAATTCACAGAAGTAGCACGATCAAAGTGATTTCTTAGGTCCAGAAGATTTTCACTGCTTTTTATTATGTAGTGATCAGCTAGGGAAAAAGAATGCATGTTAACAACAAATTAATATAGATGTTTTAATATCCCTGCTTGTGGTGACAGTATAGGACTTCTAGAGCCATTTTGTAAAAAAATGTGCTGATGATTCCTGTTTTACTACTGACTGTTGCTCAGCATGGAGGGTTGGCAAGTTTGCTTTTAAACCTTACTTTACAGTGTCAAAGGTCTACTGCTGCTGAGTCCGAGAACTCCTTCTTGTCACTGGCCTTAAAAATATTGTTTCACCAACATTTTTAGCTTTGTGCAGACCTGTGCAAAATGTAGCTGAATGAGAAACTGTGCTGTCCAAATACAAACATAAGGTGAAATGGCAATTAAAATATACGTGTAGATAGCAGGGGCAGGCCTTGCATCTGATCTGTATTCTCTCTCTCAGCATGAGGTTTTGATAGCAAAAACTGTGAAAGACACACAATGATTCTCCCATTTGTAATCAAAGAATTGGCAGTTACACTGTTATAAACGTGTTTGATGATTAATTTTGGGGGGTTCGACTGTTTCTGTTTCAAGTCTGTAGCTATTCAAGACTTTCCCCTCTTCCCCCTCTCTTACTCTTCTGAATATATTTTCCTCTTTAGATAGTAGAGAGTCTGTGTGATATGCCCAGCTCCAAATCAGTGCAGGACCTGCTATCTTAAACTATAATGCAATAACTGACCACTTTAGCTATAAAAGTTTTTAGACATATAGTTGCTAAATAGCAATAAAAGAAGTTGAGATTTTTTTTTTTTATTTGAGTTTTTTTCCTTGTGTGGCTGGTTATTAAAAGTTTTAGATAAATGTAAGATTTTAATCTGAAACCATAATCTGCATAACTGTAGATTGTTTTAACATACAATCTCTAGCTTATGCAAGGAAATGCTTGTATATTTCATCTGGAATTAGGTTTCATTTTTCCTGTACAACAACCTTAGAATGAGTATTTTGGACAGAACATTACTGCATTTCTGTAGTCCATTTACATCTTTGTAAATAGACTAAAGCTTTGTATTGTCCATGTTAGCTGATTTTTTTTTAAATTATGCACAGGCATGAACTAAGACTTGTTACTGAAGTCGCTGGTGGTTGTATTACAATTTTATTTATTTGATTTGTTTATAATATTCCTTGGTTTACTTGTTTTGGTTTTTTTTTAATGAAAAATTAAGGAGAACTAAAACAGGTATCATGCATCGGGGTAACTTTCTGTTTGGTTATGTTTTCAGGTGGGAAAGATGTAACCCTCATCCCTGAGTGGTGGTCCTCAGAGTATGTCCTTTCAAATAAAAATATCAATGTCGTCTCACAAAAATGTAGTGTCTGACTCACCTTTTCCATTGTCCAAGTCACCTCCTGGAGCTGTCCAAGACAAGACTATTGTATTGTTTTCTATACAAGCATGAAGGTCTGTAACTTTACAGGGTGGATAAATAGGAGCAGAATCTCCTCCTGTATTCACTACAAGAGAACTTGTTGAAATTCTGCTGAAACTTGCCAGCTCGACTTGGATTTCTTTATCCGCAAATTTAGGTCTCGGTGCATTCATGTAAATTTTACCTGTTTAAAACATTTTTCAGCTTTCATCATGACAGATCTCTGAATTGCATTTTCTTTTTTTTTTTTTTTTAATCTCTTATTATCTCTTCTCATCCTTTAAGTTTTCTTTAGCTTATTCAAATTTAGCAGAAAGTTAGTGAAGACAGAAAATAAGGCTATCTCAGGATTCTCACCATAAAATTTAGGAAACCCAAAAAGCAGCCAAAGTCTGAAATGTGTAAAAATTGGAAATGATGCAACCAGTAAAGCAGGTTGCAGATGTTGGTGAGCTATGCCGGCAGTAAGGTAGTTCTATCCATCTCTTCACCCATATTGCAGGCCTTAAGAGAGTTTCCGTTATATAGGCCATACTTTGTGAGGTTTTTAGACAATTTTTATGCTGATTTTTCTAAACTTCACAATGCATAAGTGTGAGAATATTAAATTGCAACAACTAATATTTTTTTCAGCATTAAGATGAAAAAGTACTAAAAAATCAAGAAATCTCAAAAGCTAAGTTTTCTAGCAGCATTAGTTTGTATGCTAATGTTGCATGCTGAATTTATTTACTCCAAATCCCCATTTTAAAGTCTCAAGAAAAATTATACATTTGAGATTCCTGTTGTGAGATGCTGAAATACAGATTCTGAGCAATATTTGTCCTTCTCATGGCTGTAAGAGAAAATAACTTCTAGATTAAAGACAACATTTTATGCTATTCCCATATATAGGAAAGAGTAGTTGGAGCTGGTGTGTTTTGTTTGGGCTTTTTTTGTAGTGAAAATGATAGCTGGAACATCTTTTAAGATCAAATGCTATTTTTGTGAATCTAAATGATCCCATTTGCTAAACCCTTACACCCCTCCTACATACAAATCATGCAAAGAATTGTCTGTTTCATAAACGCTCTTTACCATTTTCTCTGTAGCCTGGTATATACAAGGCTCGGTTTTGCCTGAGGCTAAGTCTGGTGGTTGTCTTTCTCCCACGGGCTTTCACTTTTAGACGGTATCTTCCACTGCTTTGTAAAGAAGTAAAGTACCTTGAGTAGATTCCATCGTTCTTCATCGTGTCAGCACCTTGGTATAGAATTATTGAGAATTAGTATCTCAAACAAGATACCTGCTGGTAAACAAGGTTATTTTTGCTATTCATACACATACATGCTACTCATGTGAAGACTGTAGTCCAGCTTCATAGAATATGAGATGTACTAACAAAACAGCTTGTTTTCTTTTTACTTTGCCTCTCGAGGGCAGATGGTCATATGAAATACACTTTCAGAAAGTAGATATAAGCAATGTACCCTCTACTATGCACAGTTCTTTCACCCTCAATAACAGCACAGGAAAGAAAGCGGAACAATTTTTCAGGTGAAGGCCCGTGTCTTTGTTTTCCTCACCAAGAAAAAGCTTTGTAGCTTACTTCTGTCCTAAAGCAGTAGGGTTCTCTGTCTCCCTTTTTATTTTTTTCTTGATTTAGGGCATAGCCATGACTCAGTACTTAGTGATAAATCTGAGGGGAACATGCAGACTTGGATTCCAAAATGCATAAATAAAAAGGTTTTTACTATGTATATGGAACCTTACCTGCGCCATTATCAAAAAGTTCAAGGGTTACTGTTGCAGCACCATCCTTCTCTATGGTGGCTACCACAGTTGCACCAAGAACAGGCAAAAACCCTTGGCTAACCTCTGCGTAAACAACAACAGGATTAAATGCTCTATTTTCCCTGTTCATGTGAGCCACAGTGCTCACAGGAGGAACATCAGAATATGCTGGTCGAGAGATAGCTGTTACTGATATAGCTTGAGTTGCTGTATGAACGTTTTTAATACAAAACTGCCAATCGCCCACCTGCAAATAAAATAAAAAAATATTAAAAGGTAGTGAAAAATCTCCATGTTCTAACAGGGCCATCGTTTCCCTTACATAATAAAAAATTAATTAAAGAAAAGCTGTATGCTAGTCTATAGGAAATGTTAATTCAGAAAATAAAAGTCTTTACCTCTGCAGTGCCACTTATACTGAGTCTAGCTGTGTTTAGGTTTAAATTATCGATTGTAAAGTCTGAGCTTCCATATTCTTTTCCTTTGGGGTCCCTCAGGAAAAAAATTGGCTGAGACAGATTCCATGAAGTGCTGAAGAAAGTGTCATTTCCCACAGTTTTGTCAACAGGCACAGTAGTATTCATCCATCCAGAAGGCGGAACAGCGAGCTCTTTGCTTTCAAGCTGTTGTTAGAGAAATAAAATTTGTCTTATTGCTATTTAGTAAAGAAGCATTTAAAATATTTTCAGAGTGATTCCTCATCTATTGTACAATATTGTATCCATTCATTGCTGACTTAAAATGGATTAGTCTTGGAGGAGAGAACTGAAAAGCATTTACACCTTTTAGAAACTAGCATGAAAAAAGGTCTCTGCTTACTTATTTATAACTCAGAGTTACATAGAGAAGATGGAAGGCTTTCTAGTTCTGCTGTCTCTACCTACAGGAAAAGTAAGAGCCATTTGGCACAACTATTGAACGAAGAAAAGTAATAAAATCCCAGATTCACTTTATGAAATGGCTGCTTAGATAGTAACATTGATTTTAAGTGTAAAATTATGGTAAACAGGGTAAGTTACAGTAAGTGTAAGTAAGTCCTTAATTTCTGTATCTAAACTATCTATCTGTATCGACCTATCTAAAGCGTTGTGCCAGTAAGTTGTATTTCCACTGCAGTTTGTCTGTCTCAAAATCCTGAAAGAGAGAGAAAGAAAATGTCTCCACATATGAATGTAAGGCTTATAGGTAACGAGAGAGACAGAAATAACAACAGAACAGAGGAGAATATATAGAAGAGAGAAGTAAACAATATTTCCTTTTTTAAAATTAAAATAATTTTGTGTAATTTCCTCACTCCTATTTTATGAACAATAAAGTCTGCAATTAGAAAATAGCCTTAGGGTAAAAAAAACTTAGGGTTTTTTCCCCTGTGTAGGTGGGACAGAAGAGTCAATTAAAGGCAATATAACAACTCAAAAAACCCCAGACCTGCTTTTCAAATCTGTATTGACTGCTTATAATCTAGCTATCTTTGTGAGTGGTATATTTTGGATAAAACATAGGACTGGATTTGTGTTAAAATATTAACAAAGTGAGGAACGAGTTGCTAAATTCTAATTAACAATTGGCGTACATGAAAAGTCTAAAAGTTTGCACATTAAAATGATACATCTGGCTTAGGAGAAAAGCTGTATTTTAATTGTATCATCTTTGTTACTGAAGTTAGACTGTTAAAGTGGTCTAAAAGATGTTTCATGTAAGAGTGAACTAAGCATCCTGGGGGATTTCTGTTCGCTTTTTTCTCTCTCAGTCTCTTGGACTTTGACAATTATGAGAAATAATTTTCTTGATTTTGTGAAATGAAGAATTATATAAATTGTGTAATTTATTTCATTGCAGTGAAAAGTAGATCATTAAAAAATGTACTTGCTCCTATTTCCAAACGGAGCCGCTGACAATTATGATCATTAATGTCTAAATTTATTCAATTACTGATCAACTAAAAGCATAGGAGGAAAAAGAAGTGTTGAAATGCAGACTGAATAGATTGTTTAGAAATATCTCCTTTTCCTGGTGTAATTGCACTGAATGTCTCAGTTAATTTAATGTGGGTGGCTCCATCTACAGCATAAAGCTTTAAACCTCCTGAAAGACAAGAGCAAAAGAATTAGAAATACTATTTTTACTCTAAAATTGCTAAATTTTATGTGACTTCTAGTACTGAATGTTCTACTGAGGCAGCCAATTTGTTATGAAATCAAAAAAGACACGTATCTTTTTATTAATGTGTTAACGCACGTGTCATAGTAAATTCTGGCTTCTGTGACCAACTCATTTTAACTCTCATTGGCAAAGTTTGCAGAAAAATCACTCCTTGCAGCATGTCATCAAGTACAGCATTTTTAGACTTTTCCTAGTACTTTTGGAGTCGCATATTATCCCTTCAGTGAAATTCTGCTCTGAAAATACCTCTGTAGAAAAGACACGGTGGCATTCCATGGTTTTTTACTCTAAAATCCAGATCGTCTTTATTTCCAAATGTGAAGTTTAGATCTCTTTTCATGCATACTGCGTTGAAGCAGCTCTAGTCCTTTGGAGGTTCTCGTACTCAGTGCAGGTCTGTTAATGAATTCATTGCGAATATGGCTTCATACTGTTCTACTGAAGCACCTGCACTTCATGCATTTGTTGCATTTCTCTCTCAAATTAGGATCATACATGCCAGACATAAACTGAGCCATTGCTGTGCTCCTAATGCACGGATCATTGGAATCCCAGAGTGGGATAGAGGCTGCTGTGCAGTGCTGAGCCCTGGGGAGCCTACTTGGGGTGTGCACAGGCTGCCCACAGCCCTTCCCTACCACCTAATGCCTCTCACCCCTGTCCCTCACAACTGAGGGACTGACATAAGGTGTGCAGGTTACATCAGGTGTATGGCTCTGTCTCATGAGAGAACACGTGGAGTCATATGAACTGGAGGAGGTGTTAGCTCAGAGATCTATTCAGTGTTTTCAGAAAACTGATTTTTGTTTCTAAGCAGGAAGGCCTGCTGGTTGAAGACTACATGCTGAAAGACCATCTGGGTTCTTTCTGGCTCACAGATCATTCTTAGTAAATACTTTGCAAGTGGAGCTTAAACTACAAATTCTGTCTTAAAATACAGGCCAGAACAGAATCGAACTCTTGACTCTCCTGTAGTCATGTTGATCTAATGATGTTGAAGAGCGCATAAGGGCATTCCAAGTTATTTAAATTCCTAAAACAAGTGGATTGTAGTCTGAAAATGCACAGCATGTGCACCTCTCCAATAAGAGTATTTATTCACCGTATTTGTTTGGAGTCAGCTTGCTTTCTAGATCTACGCAAGGAGTTATCATTCTTCCATGGCATTTGCAGATGCTGTAGCATGAAGCAACACCCCTATGCATAGTTTTTAAATGGTTGTTTTCAAACTAATTATGTAGCTCAGCTGACAGCTTTGCTTGCTAATGACAAGGGTAGTCACTGTGTTTACAATTTCCTAGCCAGTGCACTTCAGCCACAACAGTTGGAGAAAATTATTATTTTTTATGTAATAAAAAATCCTTATAAGTTAAAGCATATAGAAAGTTCTAGTCATTGCATGTAATGCCAGAAGTAAAATTCTAGACATTTCTTTTTATGTTATATAACGACATCATAATTAAATCTCCTTAGTAATAGGGTATAGTCATGTTATTGCATTTTTAAATCAAAACAGCTGTTTAAGCAAATCTATGGATCTAAAGAGTTCTGCTTGTTTGTATTAAAAAAGCCTGTCATGAAAATCAAATTTCTTTAAAATTAAATTTGTTTTAAATGTCTTAAATTTCTTTTTTCCAGACCAATGAATTGCCATGCTTTTACATTTTCATACTTGAATATGCATGCCAGAGAAAGAGTGCATTTAGAATATTTACCTGTTAGTTTCGAAAATTCTTCTAATTCTTTGGCTGCCGATGGCCCCAGTGAAATGGTGTGAACTCTTGCCCCACTTTGTTTCACCAAATCAAAGCAAGCTGCTATACCTGAGTCCTCTCCATCTGTCAGTAGCACAATTTCTGAACCATAGGTAGCATTCATTTTATCTTCAATTAACTGCATCAAGAATTCATTATATAAGCACCAGAATAATTTTTAAGTGTTAGTTTATCCCAGAGCACAATCAATTTATGCATTTAAAACTGTTAACTTCAAATATAAGACAAATTTATTCTTTAATAAGTGTTTGAATTTTTGTTTAACACTAAAACTACTACAATATTAATTATTGCAATTGATACTGCAACATCTAATTGCTTAGATTTAGTAAGTGTTCAATGATAAATGATGAATATTTAATACATGTTTTCCTAGGGAAGGAACCTATCGCAAATTGAAGATGTCAGAAGCATTCTGCCTGTATATACTTTGCTGGTTCAGGGACTGGGTGTTAAGGGCATCATATTAAAAACTTGTGTCCACTGTCTAGAACTACTCTTTATTCTCCAATCAAAATTTCAGGAGTAGAGAAGGACAGACTTCTGTCTAAGGGTGGACTCTGAGGTAACTGAAGGTGGGGCAGAAAGGGGTAGGGAGCACCCATCAGGGAGGCCTCTGTCCTGGCTGTTCCATCCCTGTCTGGTTGCCCGTCTTCCTCCTGATGTCCCCCTGTCCTGAGCCTCCACTCTGCCCTGGACTCTCGGCTACCTCAGCAGTCTCATCCTTCTCTGTACAATTTCTCTCTTTCTTCCCTTTTCCTACACATTGCTCCAGATTTTCAGTTTTGCATCTGAATTAGGTGACATCTTCTGGGACTTCAGACTGCCAGCCCAAGGAAGTAAAACAGACAAATATCTATCCATCAATCACTGTTTCCCAATCTCATGATTTGTATGTGGTTTCACAATTTTAGGGGCTTGATTCATGACTAGTGAACTGCGGGAATTAACAATACTGCAATTGTACAGCTTCCCATTTCAACATTTATTCTATATGTTCATCGTGATTCATGAGTCGGATCTCTGGTGTTTCCTCAGTCCACATTTTGCTAAAAAAAATTCTTAGAGATTGCAGGAATACAATACGACGTTCATTGTTGTGTTGGTCTGCAGCCAACCTATTTCTCTGTATATACACCCAGCGATATGATCGGGCCGTGAGTTTATCCAGTCATGTGAGAGTTTGGACTGCAGTACTGCATATTTTTTTCTACTAGAAGCAATGAAAGAACTGTATTAAAGTAACCTGTTCACTTTCTCTTTAACAAAGTAAATAGAATAATCTCCATAGGTTTCCAACTAGAAATTTGATTTTCCAAAATTTAGATCATTTTTGTAGTTAATTTTGGAATTTATTTTTCAATATCCTTTTTGAAGCATGGACATCACATCTGGCCTGTCTTCTGGTAATACTCTTTCTTATTATCTTGTTATCATATTATCTTTCTTAACTCTACCATTGCATAGGAAGTCCGTGTTCAGTGGACTATCAAGTTTGTTTCTCACTTCTTCCTCATTTTCCATACATTTCAGGAGGTGTTTCCACATTGTACTTTACCTTAAGTCCTTTACGTACACCTGCACAGATACTGGTTTTTCCACTAGCAGTTATAGGCAAACATTGAACAAGTTTTTGGCGTGCTGCATCATTGGTTATTTGTTGCAAAGGAGCTTCTTCAGATGCATCAGAGTTAAATGTGACAATTCCAGCCCAGGAACCGATTTCAATAATATGGAGCAGAAATACCTCTGCAGCTCTACGGAGATGTCCAATGCGGTCATGCTGTACGTGAAGAAAAACAACATCCTTAGAATGCAATCTCTTCTGAAAAGCTTTGACTATGAACAAAATATAGGAATTTTTGATGTTGGTCAGGTTGTAAATAAAAATTAAAAACTATCTGCCATAAGGTATGTATGCTCAGTTCTAGAAGAGAGGACATGTAAACCATGTTCTGGTATTGTGAAAGTGCAGCAACCTGCAGCTTCCAGGGAGGATGTCACTAGGCAAAATCCATCTTCTGATGTTATCACTTCATTCCTAATCAAGATTTTTGTCACCTTTTTTTTATAGCGTGATGTCAATGCAAAAGAACACCTACGATGCCTGAGGAGTAGGTTAGTCTAGAGACTAAGTATTTTGAAAATATAAATAATATTAAAGTAGAAGTATGGCTATTTTAAATGCAGGTATTCAAAGGGATTACTGAAAAAAAAAAGTTACATTTGAAAACATTTATCCCCGGAGCTAGCTATTCTTGCAGTATTTATTTCATAATTATCTTAATTTTGGTTTTTAGCATTACATTATTATTTACTAACCAATTTAATAAAATGTACCATGACTGGTAGACATCTGTATTATAAAAATAATATAATTTATTGCAGATCTTTGCTGAAGATCAGTCTCAAGAACAGCTCTGGACTAGAACAGCATGTCTGGAAATAGATCTGTTGATGGAGCAGTATGGGAGAATCTCACAATTTTTATATGTATGCCATAACTAAAGAAATGGAGCATATACTGCGTTATGCTTCTTCATATATATTTTGGTTTAAGGTATGACTGTCAAATATTTAAGAATATTTGTAAACATGTTTTAGCTTTTTGAATTACCTTCTTTAGATGAATAGTCTTATTTTTAGGCTTGAATTCCTGTGAGAAATGAAACACTGAACTTGCAGTATTTTCTATAAGAGAGTAATGGTCATTGGCTCGCTACTGAACTGTGGAAGAGGTAAGTTACGGATAAGAAAATGCAGTATGTCATCAAAAGAATATATAAGCTGATTTTTAAAAGCTGTTAGAGTATGCATAGAGGTTTGAAGTCTATTAATAAATCATGAGATAGCTGCCTTACTTACCCAGATAATTCTGCCAACTTTCTACAGATTATCATATTGCTTACAGCTTTATAAAAGTGTTAGGATATTTATGCAAATAAGCACATGTTCAGGGATGTTTACTAAACCTTGCATCCATAAACAACCTTGGTATCTCGTGCCACAAGAAGCTGGGAAAGAATAAACTTATTCAAAGTTTTATGGGGGGAAAAAAAAGGAAAAATAATCTCAGCCTTGTTAAAATGAAATAACGGTATGCCAGCTCACATTCTTGATTCCAAAGAGCAATATTGTAATGAGGAAAGAACATCTAATTTGTTGACCTATTGTGACCTACATATTTACTTTAAATTTTAGAATCATTCATAACAAAAATACAATGTGAAACTCCATCTATGATACATTTTCTGCTTGGAAGAAATACAATGGCACTGTCATTCTAGGTCTGGAACGAAGGAAGGAAAGTATATAAAATTGAGATTTTACATGGAAAAAAAAAGACGAAGTCTGGCCTACAACTCTTAGTATTTTGAAGTGGTATCTTGTAGGAATTGCTAAATAAAATTACCAAGGCACGTAAGAATAGTCCTTTTTTCTTCCAAAATAATCACGTTAATTAGAGAATTGACTGATTTTTTTTATTTTGTAACTTTTTCTGTTTCTTACAATTTTTGCTAAAAATTGCTTATAAAATGCATAGTCTTACCATTAACATGCTCCCAGAAACATCCAGTACTAAAGCGACTGCTCTGTCTTGGGCCTGCAGTAGCCTGAAGGTAGTCTCAGAGGGGGGTGCAGAAGCATTTACAACAGCCGAGTTGCGAAAGTCATCAGATTCCATAATCACTTCCCACGTGCTTTTGTGGTTGCATATCTTATTCTGCATATTTGGAGCCTCACTATTGTGAGTGTTTTTATCACAAAATTCAACCACCTAAAAAGTCAGATTGAAGCAGATAATAATTCTGAACCCAACAGTATGAGCATAAGAAAATATGTCAGAAAATACAAAGTTTGTGCTGAGGGACAGGACAAATGGAGGTGTTCTTCTCCAGTGAATGTCCTCTGTGCCATGGTGCCTGGCCAGCCAGGATCTTAGAAGAGGCAAGCAAAGAAAGTGCTCCCAAAGAACTTATCTCAGATTTTACATAAGCACAAGCATGTTGTGACATACAGAAACAAAGCTTTCAGTCTGTGAGTACTGAGATCTTTGGAGTTACTGATTCATGGAGGTCCTACTAGATTTAAGCCTGGTAACATAGATACTGTAGCTGAACAGCATGGATGTCAGCACAAGTTATCAGCCAGAATATTTAACCGACTTCTTGGGTTAAGCTGGGGTCTTGGACCAGTTCGTATAAGTTTTCTTGAGTGGAATAAGGAAACGTGCAAAAGATACAAAGTCAAGACTTTGAGAGAAGCAGCAAATCTTTTAGATGTCTCAGGATGTCCACGGCATACAGCTGAGGGAAGAACATGAGCCATTGTTGTGGGTTAACCCCAGTGGGCAGATAAGCACCACACTTCCTCCCCCTCCCCAGTACGACGGAGGAAGAGAAAAGGAGGAATAAAAGAAAAAAAACTTTAGGGTCAAGATAAAACAGAACAAAGCAAAAAAAATTGTTTAGTAAGTGAAGGATAAGGGAAAGAAGAGAGAAAAAACAAAACAAGTGATGCAAAGGTAATCACTCACTGCCTCCCATGGGTAGACCAATGCCCAGCCAATTCCCAAGCAGAAGATGGCTAACCCTCCTAAACCCCCCTCTTTCCCCTTTCGTTGCTGAGCATGACGTTATATGGTATAGAATATCTCTTAGGTTAGTTTGGGTTATATCTGCCTGGTTGTGTCCCCTTCCAGCCTACTGCACACTCCCCAGTCTATTCAAGAGGGGGGGCAGAGTGAGGAACAGAGAAGGCCTTGATGCTGTTCAGCTAAAGCTAGAACATTAGTGTGTTATTGGTACTGCTTTGGTCAAAAATCTAGAACACAGCACCATATGATCCACTATGAAGAAAATTAACTGTATTCTAGCCAGGCCCAGTATACCCAAAGAGCTTGCCCAAAGAAATAAGGTCAATAGCGAGAGGAATTGTGATCCTGTACCACAGAGATCTAGCCTGCAAGGAGACTGTCCATCCTGCTAACCTCTGTCCCAGCACCCTCTCCCAGACACTGGAACAGTACAGAGCAGGCATGAGGAGGCCTGCCTGGTTGTCCTGGCTGCTTTCAAGAGAGGTGGGCTGCTGCTTCTGTGCTAAGGATAGATAGACAGACCAATGGATAGACTCTGCAATGGAGTGCAGTAGAGCTATGCAGGTAACACAGTTCGGGTGCCAGTTTACATACGGAGTGATCAAAAACTGAAGTTATTTTCTAGACAAGGCATTTGGCAAGAATGCTTCCCTTTTATGCCTGTGGACCTGATTCTCCAAACACGGAGCAAGGTGGATGCTTAGACTGCAGTACATCTCACCCTTATTGACAGGAAACAGCTGTCAAATCATTTCCAGTAAGTTCTTTGTTTTCCCTTTTGAACACATTTTAATAGAACTGATAGCATCATGCATCTTCTTTGAAACAGAAATTAATTAAACACCTGACTGATCATTCTCCGCGACAGAAATAACTGACTAGACCCCAAATGTTACTAAACTCTCAGCCCAGAAAGGTATAGTAATACTTACAGACGATGTGTATCGCAAATCCATAACAGAACATGGCATCTTTTGTTGTATATCTGGAATAAATATACATCCTTTTTCACAGAGCTGATCACCATATCTACATCTTCTTAGCTCACACTTGTCTCCATTGCAGTCTTGGAAAACAGGTATACCAGTCACACCAGCTGGACAGCTAAGAGAAGAGAAGATAGGCAGGGCTGGTTAAGAACCCAGTCTGTAACTGGTTATTTACTTGAATTTTGGCTGCCCAAAGCCAAATTGCTGTTGACGCAGCACTGTACTAGACACTGCACAAGTACCTAGGTAGGCTGTCTCTGTGCCTGGCAGGGTCCTCAAACTAATCTAGAAATAGTTAGAATCATAAAACACTTGTGGTCTTTTGTGATCTTCCTTGTGATAATTATACGCTATGCAGAAAACACATCCTGCTAGTAGCTGCAATACAAAAGACTGTATTGGTATGCCTGAGCTAGCAAAAAAGGCAAGCCTGAACTAATTTGCTACATCCATTCAGTTATTGTCCCTCTTTGTAGAAACTGTTTAAAGTCACAGTGGTTTCGGTAGGCAATTTCAGTGTTGTTTATAACTGCTGTTTAATAAAATTACGTTAAATAAGTACAAAACAAATGGTGGCTGAAGTCTGCAGTTGCCCACAGAGCAAAAGATTATCCAGCCTGATCTCCTGAACCTCTTACAAAACAACACCAAAGGCAGCTGTGGTTTTCTGGGCTGCAGAGCAGGCAATAGATGTTGCTGACTAAGCATCTCTTAATTACATGAACAGGTCATGGACACTCTACAAAGTACAAACAACAGAGATGATGAGAATATTCAGAACTTTATTGAAATGTTTAAACCTGTGTAATGTAAAAGGAAAAATATGAAAAAAATAATACCTTGTTGCTTCAACACTTGCTTCTTTAGAATTTCTAGACACATAAAAAGGCACATTGCTACTATATTCATTGAACACCCCCCACCGATAGTGAGCCCATTCGTGGACAAAAACTCGACCTGTTGAAAAAGAGTAGCACATGCACGTTCTAAATACAACTGTTTAAAAGCTACTCAGTGTTTTACTTAGACATTTTAACAATTTAAACTAGTTCTTATCTGAGGTAATACAGGAAGATTGTGAAAAATTTAAGCAATTAGGATAATAATTTTTCTTTGAGGTAAAACTAGGAAAGCATCAGTTTAGCAACCAGGACTAGAATTTTTTATTCATATTTGACTCTCAGAAATGCAGGAACTGTTCTAGAGGCTTTCTTCCAAGTTGGCAAAAATCCCCTGACAAATTTAGGTTTTCTGAGGTTTCTGTCCCACAGAGCAGAAAACCTTACATTTTTTGACACAGTGTAGTACAAAATCCGATACACAAACACTGGATAGTTTATTTGGTAAGTGGTCATAAAAGGAAGGCTACTGCTAATGGCAGTAGTTAAGTGCAGAGGAATAACCATTTAAGGTTTTCAAAAGGATGAACAACTTCTGGATCCAGTGTTTGAATATTTAACTTCACACATTTCACAGGTATTTGCTACTTCTGAAAAATGTGTCTCTCAAGGTTTTTTTCATTTTGGCAAGCAAACTAAAGCACCCAAATTCATTAATCACTTTGAAAAATTTTGGCCATTTCATATGAACAATAAAACAGGTAATTAAATTAAATAGCAGTATTACCTTTTTCTCCATAAACATTAGTCAAATTGTAATTTAACAGGAAGTTAGGTGTGAAATGGATGTACTGTCCTTTCTCCTTACATCCTCCATAGTGTAAGGTGTAAGGGTCATCTACATGTTTCATGTAATGGTCTGCTATGATGACATCTGCCTGAAAAAGTAAGACCAAAGTTACACATAACATGGGTTAGAGAAGAGTTAGGTGATTCTTGTTGAATAAATTCAGTCCTGCAATTTTTTTTATCCTACCAACACTCTCAACACTTCTGAGCAAGAACTTCCAGGATTAGTCCCAGATTTTGCTGTCATTTGTAATGTAGCCTTATCAGTCTAGCTTTTCCTCGCTTTAATCATAGAGTTCTCTAAATCATACCTTATCATATGATTCTGTTTTTAATCTTGAATAGCTGGTGTTTTTCTTCCATGTTTCAGGAATTATAATTTTTACAGACTTGAAGAAAAATCGATGTTTTGTTGTTTGAAACAAGTAATTAGAAGCATTTTTAATCATGTTCTAGGGAATGAAAGAAAATAAAATATTAATATCAATGTTAATATTAAAAATTTGACTGTATGTGCAATGAATAATTTAGCCTTATCAAAAAACAGCAGTACAATAAAGTAGAACTAAGTACATAACACAAAACTAAGAAAGCATTACAGTCTTCATTAAAAAAAGAATAAACAAAGAAGTCAAGGACTAAGCTGTAATTCTTGGAACCTCTCACCAGTTCTATAATCCTGCTCTTAATCAGAGATTGTGATCAAATTCACACACTAGCCTTCATATGAGATGAACACTACTAAATACAAGGATTTTACTGTTAAAACAATACTGGCCTGACAGCAAGTGTGGGCAATATTCAACATTGCACCCGCTTTTCACTTATCTGACTAATGTCCTCATTTTTCTGTCAAATTCACTGTTTCACTTTCTTCTTATTTGTATTATGGCTATTATATGCTCCCATTACTTTCCTTTCCTCTTGTTCTTTTACCACCTTTCTTGGAGTAGAGGCATCAGGAAAAGCATTAGCAACTAGCATAACAAAAACACTTAGCAACTAAGTGTTCAGTGGAGAAAAAAACAAACAGGAAGGAGGGAACTAAAATCTGGCTTTTCATAAGCTAAGAAACAAGCTGTGACAGAGGCTTTGGAATCAAATATCTTTGTTCCATGTACATAAACTTCAGCTAAAGGAGATTTCTTGAAGAGATTCAGTTTGCCAGGACTGAGAGTGATAGTGAGTGCTAACCCGTGAGAAGCTGAGCAGTAATGGGACATGCTACTTCAGCTGTCCCCATGCCACCTCTTGCCTGCTGTGCAGATAGAACAGAGTGGTTGTAACTAGTCCAAGGGAACTGAAGGAATGGTGTAAGAGCACATTCTCATAAGGTCAGCTATAATGTGAATTTAATACGTGGTAGATATCCCGCTGTAACAGTAACCATCACTTATACACTTCTATCCTAAAAAACACTCAGTGGTTTGTCCCTTAATGAAAATGGAGTGATCTAAACTCTACTTATTGTTAAAAAAGGGGACAGTCAGTGACTGATGGTAGAAAGTAAACTATCATCAGTTTTACTTCATGTAAATATCTTCTCACAAGATGAAAAAAATCTGGAAATGTTGAAAATTTTCCGGCTGACCAAAGGATGGTGTCCTTCATCTTTGATCTTAGGGATGACATGGGGCTGAGATAATCCTACATCAGGGTCTAGTAAGCATTAGACATACTGCAGAACCTGGGCATTTGTCAGAAGTGTCCTGTTCAACAGGTTTTCTCTAAAATTATTTGACTTTGTAGAAAACAATTTATTTGCTTTGAGACCTGGCCAGCATCCTATTCTAGGGAAATTTATCCACTGAGACATCTATGTGGATTGCAATAACAGCTAAGCCCAGAAATGCCACTAAACCTAACTTTTTTTTTTTTCCTTTACAATTTTTAAAGGAACATTATGAGACATACTAACTAATGACAAAGAGTAGTATAATCAACGGTATTAAACTAGTATTCGTAGGACATTCTTTCAGGTAAACATAATTTGGAAAGCTACTTAAAGGAATTTCAGTCTGGCTCCCAACAGAAATATTACAGCATTGTCTGAGGGAATTAGTGCTCTTAGAAGTGACAACAGATGGCAAGACAAATTAGAAATTACTAGTTTAGTAACTATGGGATTAATGCATGGTTAATTCAAAACAACAAGGAAAAATCCCATTGACAAGAATGGGAGCTGCCCCTGATTCGTGCTGCTTTCCAAGCAGAAAAGTCAAGTCACAACTGCTGAGAAACAACACATATAAATGCAAATGTTCTTACCATCGTGTTCAGGATGATGTTGTCATTTTCTGGCACCTGGGGACTAATTGCAACAACCAGATCCTCATAGCCATTCTTATTTAGCCATACCATAGAACCTTTTGCCACATGCAGGAGCTGAAAAGACAGCAAAAATATCAAACTCCTAAACACCCCCATTACTTGTTCCTGTCTGTGAGGTTCTTGGTTAGAAAAGTGATGGCTTATCAGTCTTATATATATGACTGCCTGTAGGGTGGGTAAAGATAGTTTGCCTCTCCCATCCGAGTATGTAGAGTCCCAAGTCCATCTTATCTTCTTGTTACAGCAACCTGGTTCCCATCTGAGTACGTAAAGTCCCAAGAGTGTCTTATCTTGCTGTCACAGTAACCGGGGGTTATTCACTTCCCCACCATCGCACAGCCACCAACGTGACAGTGACCTGCGGATCTT